CAGGGAGCCAGGGTTCACACGCAGACCTGACCAGGTCGGCAGCCCACCCTCCTCCATCATCTCCCCAGATTGTGTCCCCCCTGCCCCAAACCTCCCCCAGCTGCCACGCATTTCTTCCCAGGTGGGCTTCTCATCTGGCAGGAAGGTCAGAATGCGAGCAGCCTGCAGGTGTCCCGGGTTGGGGTCTTCCCCCTGACCTGCCCTGAGCCTTGGAGGTGGCTGTGTGGCGCACCCCTCATGACCAGGCTCACTGGACTCGGGGCTCACTTACCTCCTGGAGGAGCCGAGAGACTCTGTGTCATGAACCTGTGCTTTCTGAGCCTGTTTTTGTCCCCCCGGAGGATGGGGTGTTGTAGACGGACGGCCTCAGGCCCGCTGCCTGTGTCCCGTGGGTGGCGTCTGACAACCGTGGCTGTGCTAGCTGTCTCGTGTCTCCCTCTGGAACAAGCAGGGCTCGCTTTCAGAGGCAGCCACTGGTCCTGTTTCTGTTCAGTGTTATTATATCATGGGTCTAAGAAATTGGCATTTCATTCTCTCTCATCTTGAGAAGATGAGGGGTGGTCTCTCCAGATCACACGTGGAAGGAACCACGTTTCCTCGGCCTACCCAGGGCTGGCCAGCCCCACAGGGAGGAGTCCGCACACAGCGGTGAGGGAGCCAGTGACCCAGGCCGAGGGCCCAGTCCCTCTACAACAAGCTGTATGATGCTGAGTAACTCACTGCTCTTCTCAGAGCCCCGGCCCCAAGCAACCAAGATGAGGAAGAGCTGGAAACAGCTGAACCCCAGGAACATCGGGGTTCCGAGCTGGCCTTGCACATACAGCATGCCTGGGCCTGTGCTGGTCCCTTCACATGCTTATCACTAACATTCACCACAAACCTAACACCATCCTGCTACAGGAAAAACAGAGTGTGAGAGGATGGCTGTGTCCCAGGTCTCGGTCGAGTCCCTGGAACACACCCCACCCAGTGAGAGTCCTTGGCTTCACGTAGGAAAGAATTTAAGAGCGAGCCATAGTAGAGGGAAGGTAGATTTATTCAGAAGGATACGCACTCCATAGACAGATTGCAGGCTGTCTCAAAAGGCAAGAGAAAAGCCATGAGGTGTGGGGTGGTTGGTGTTTATGGGCTCGGTAACTTCATATGCTAACAAGTGGGAGGGTTATTCCAACTAGTTTGGGGAAGGGGCTGGGATTTCCAGAAATTGAGCCGTCACCCGCTTTTTGACTTTTTATAATCAGCCTTGAAACCGTCTTGGCACCTGTGGGAGTGATTTAGCACGTGTTGTATGTATTTCAGTGAGCGAATATTGAAGCTCAAGGTCAACCGGGAGTTGAATCTTCCACCATCTTGATGCTAATGGCTGTGCCATTCTTTCAGTGGCTGTGCCCTGCCCCCTCCCCTCCTGTCTCAGTCCCAATTCACAGGTGTCAGGACTGAACTTCAGATGTTCCATCATGTGCACAAGGTCACACAGGGGCTAAGCTTTGAGCAGGGTTTAGGGGGGCCTCCCTGACCCCAAGCCTGTCCCTTCCCAGGTAGGAGAGACCATGCAGCTTCAGGATCTGAGATACGGTCCAATTGTACGGGGCGGTTACTTTAGGAGATGCAAACGCAATGTGATTAGGAGGGAGCTGCTGACTCAGGCTTCAGAGCTGGCCTCCCGCACCGGGACTGTTTTGCTTATGGTTTTGCCGAAGCTCCCTCTCCAGATGAGACCATGAAACCATGGTGTGACGACACCGTTATTCAGGGTACCCAAAGCCCTTCGTGTCCCTTCCCATGCTCACTGGTGTTCTGTGTCATTAAAATACATTGTTGATTAATATTTGAGCAGGCACGCAGAGCATGCGTGTCCCCAAGCCCCACATTTCTCATCCATTTCCTCTGCTTGCTGCTCTCAGGTCTCCCTTTGGGTTACTTTTTACCCTTCTTTAGTCCTTCCCCATGTGGTCCACGCACCCCCTTCCCCTCCCCATCAAAACGGACCCCAGGAGCTCCACGCAGTCTGTGTAAGCATCCTTGGAGGCCAGTAGGGGTGGAGATGAAACACTCCTGGCTTGGCTTGTCCCCTCCCAGCCTGACCCCCCGCTGATTCCGACTCCCCCCTGCAGTGCCCCTCCTGAGATAATCTCTCAGGCCCACTCTCTGCTTTCCCTTGGTTTGCATTCTGTCCACGCTGAGGTCTGCTGAAACTGTTCTTTGCTACTGTATAAGGCAACTTGCTCGCAGATCCTTTGAGAGATGCCACTGCCTGGGCTGGGGGGGCATCCTTCCCAAACCCCTCCTGAAGTAGAACTTCATTTTGATCACAAGAAGTGGTAGCTTCAGTTCCAGAATTCCCCCCTGAATAACCCTCAGGCAAGTCTCTTAACCTCACTGACCCTCAGTTTTTCGCCTCTCAAGTGAGGGTGATAACAGTACCTAGCTTCAGGGGATTGTTGGGGGATTGGATAAAACCATGCTTTTTAAATACAAAGCATCCCAAAAGCTTCAGTGCAATTTTAAGCGTTAATAACAACAGAGCATACATGCTATAAACCTACCAAATGCATCATTTGAAAGTTGAAGTATTTCTGTTTTTTAAAGTATTTAGTTTTGTGAACTTATACATTTTTAATTTTAATTTTTGTTTTAGTCAATATTTGCTGTGCTCAGCCAGAAGGGCTAGGAAGAAAAAAAGGAAATTTAAAGACTTATTTTTTTAAAAAATTCACAAAAGTAAATAGGTGCAAAAGAATTGTAGACCAACTTTCAAATGAGTTTTTGTGTATTTACAACATTGCTCTATCTGAAGTTATTAAAGCTTAAAACTCGACTAAAACTTAGGGAGGACTGCCCAAAGGGAAGCTGTTCTTTTACTGTTTGCATCAAAGTTGTCACCATCGCCATCATCATTAGATCAAAATGATCATAAAGAAAATCTTTCTTTGATTTTAATTACTGGAGACCAAGAAACCACGTTCTGTTCCTGTCAGTCCTTCGGTGCTGGTCTTGGTCCGAGGCCACCCACGCCCCTGCTTTCCACCTGCCTTCTATGGAGCTTGGGTGCCCAGCTACTGTAGGCTTGAGCTCCTTGCTAAGTTTCTTCTTCTCACCCCTCCCAAGGTCACCTACTGAGCTTCAGTAAAACACAGTGGACTCAGACTCTGGCAGGAAGTAGGGTGGAGGCGGCATTACGGAAGACGTTCACCCACGTTCCATTTTGAACCTAGATGT